TTGCTTCTTTCATAGTTGGGACAATGACTATATAATGATGATCTGAATCCAGGTATCTCAAGAGGAAGTAAATATATTGATATCACTCAGAAGATCTCTCTCTTTAGCTCCCACCTACCCCTCTATATCTTTGACTTCTGTGTGTGCTTTTAAAGGCCTGAGATAATCAGTATCCCATCTTTATTCTTGCTTTCCAGAAATTCTGGAATTGCACAGAGCTAATCACATTTTTTTTAGAAGCAGTAACTCAGTTCATCCTGGATTTGCATATTGTGAATAATAGCAGACTTCAGGTGTTCTCCTACTTTATTGAAAGGAGCGATTATGGAGATAAATCACTGAGGAAGGAAAGAAAAATAACGTTGATTAGATAATACTATTTTCTAGGTACCAGGCTAAATAAGTTCTTATGTCCTTTTGTCATCACAATAGTCCTGTGAGGTAAACATTACTATCATAATTTTTATAAAGAGGACTCTGAAGTTCTGAGATGTTAACTGACTTATCTGAGGACATAACCACTAACCGGTTAAGTTGGGATGCAAAAGCAAAGCCTGACTTGGAAGCACATTGCCTTTCTATGAATGGCCACAAGTGCCCAATTTATAAATTCCCCTTACAGGGAGCATGTCATGAGGATTGTGTCCCATTGAGGCTGGTGTTAACATGAACCTGTGAGCACTTTGCTTTGGATAGACAACTAGCTATGCAGAAAGCTGTGTCTGCCATCACTGTTGCTTGACTCTTAGCATGATCTTGTAATGTTATGGGAAAACCTCATTCTCCTCTGAAAAACACAATTCTCAAATTGTTAAAAATGTAATTTTTATTCAAACAGCTTTATGTAACTGAGTTTTATATAACTTTTCAAAAGTAAAGTTTTAATTTTTTATTTTATTTTATTTTACAGATAAGTTTCAGAGAGAATAGAGAGTTCCCATATTCCCCTCACTCAGTGTTCCTGATGTTAATATCTTATGTAACCTGGTACATTTGTTAAAACTAAGAAAACAGCATTGACACGTTAACTATTAACTAAACTACAGACTTAATTCAAATTTTACCAGTTTTCCCACTCATGTTCTTTTTCTGTTCCAGGATCCAATCCAGGATATCACGTTGCATTTAGTTGTCAGGTATTCTTTGTCTCCTCTGGTCTGTGATGTTTCTCAATCTTTCCTTCTTTTTCATGACCTTGACAGTTTTGAAGATTACTGTTCAGGCATTTTGTAAAATCTCCCTCAATCTGGGTTTATCTGATGTTTTTCTCATAGTTAGACTGGGGTTATGGGCTTTTGGGGAAGAGTACAACGGAAGTGAAACGCCCTTCTCATCACGTCACATGAGGGGTACATGATATCTTTGTGACTTATCCCTGGTCAGGTTAACTGTGATTGCATGGTTATGGTGGTGTCTGCCAGGTTTCACTGTCCGTTTGCTCTGTTCCCCTTTCCAGATTCTCTTGTTTAGAGGTAAGTCTCTAAGTCCACCTTACTCTCAAGGGAAGGGGAATTAAGCCCTGCCTCCTAGAGGGTCTCCCAAATCTTGTCTACTGTACTTATCTCTCTCCCCCAAATTTTCGTACTCTTGGAAGCAGACAGAAATAGTTCCTGCTCTCATCTGCCAAGTCCCCTCACTCCTACCCTCATTTCTACCCCAACAATGCTGCAGATGGTGCCATGTTCTTCCCCAAAGACTGCGATCCTTGCTGCATGCAGGCCATGGATGGTGTAGTTGGGCACGTCCTCCTCCCTCCAAATACCTGAATTCAGGTCCCCAAGAGGTGGTACTGACCCAGTGAGCAAGAACTCCAAAGAAGCTGGAAAAACTATAAATATATGTACATTTATAATTTTTGTTCCTGTTACACGTGCTTGTTAACAACATGCTTAATCTGCTCAATTTCTGAGTTTCTGGACTCATGCAGCACATTAAGAGAAGGATTAGTTTGCCCAGATTAACAGCTGCTACAGAAAAGTTGCCTCGATGCCATTTTGTAGCTGTAGGCACGATTCTGGGAAGCATTGAAAAAGGCTGCCTGTGTCCAGGAATGCAAAATGTTTGAGCCACTGAGATGTGTCAGATGTAGAATAAGGGATGGAGCTGTACTTATTCTGCAGCCTGGTCGGGGGAGGGCATTTTGGGGGTTAAAGTGTCAGACCCGAGTCTTTGCAACTGAAATCCCTTAACTACTTCTTTCTCCTTTACATGGCTTGTTACGCCTTGGCTAGCCTCTCTCCCATCATCTTCAACTCTTCGCTCTCTGAGCTCACCACAGTTTCATCTCTAAAACACTCACGGCTGCCTACACTTCTCTCCATTCTATCATAATGGTCATGAGGAATCTGACTTGTTGGAGAAGCCTGTGGAAGGTGGCCTATGCTTGAGATCCTAGAGGCCACGACACAGGAGAAAGATCTAGTCAGCTCTGACTCTAGATAATTGCCAAGAGTAAAATTAATTTACTGTAAAATCAATTAAAATTTTTGTTCTCAATTCTTCTTCTCATTTCTTCTTTGATTTTGAAATAAAATCAGAAGCTAACATGAAAAACAGAATAGAAACCAGAACTACTGCTCTCTAAGCAATGCACAGTGCATTATTTTAATAAACTCCAGAAGTCTAAACTGAGTTTTCATGTTTTTCATGGAAAGTATCACATTTATCTAAAGTACTGCAGATAATCCAATTTTCTTTGCCAATACACTACGTCTCCCCTGATAAAAGGAAATACAAAATAGCTATAATTTTGAAATAATGTGTGTTTAAAATAAAAGATGAACCTGTGCATTAATTGCTAGACATTTTTTAGGTAAGCATTTTTCTTATTGGAATTAACTAACTATCTCAGTTCCCTATGTGGTTTAGCCTTTCTTAATGCCAGTAGTAAAGTAGTCTGTCAAGAGATCACTTTATATTTCTGGTGACTTTTTTTTTGAGGCCAGACTAGGCTTTCTGGATTCATGTCACTTGGCTACCATGCTCTGTATGAAGTTCCACTGCCCAGGACCTAGAGTGGGGCAGGGTGGAAGAGAGGAGCAGTTATGTCTGCTGTCAAAAGTCTCCATAGAAACTCTGCTCTTGGAGAGGTTTGTGCCTCATGCAGGTTTTCTGGCCAGTGGCAGATTGTGTCCTTCTCCTCTGCCTCTGCACAGCTGCAGCCAGAGTTTTCAGCTGCCAGGTCTCGCAGCTGGGTGGAGATGATGTAGAATGTATGCTCCCTGGAAGCAAGGGCTGTGTATTGCTCACTGTTGTGTTCCTGTACCTGGTACAGTGCCTGGCACATAATAAGAACTGTGTAAATCTTACCTGAATGAATGGAAATCTAGTCCTGCAATCCCATTATATTATTAGTAGAGCAACTGAGGCCCAGAGAAGGCAGTGGTTTGCCTGCAGCTTCACAGAGCACCCGAGGCAGTGCTGGGACCAGACTCTAGGGCTCCTGACCTCTGGTACAGAACTCTTTCCTCCACATCCATGCTGCCTTCCTCAGAAGCTAGCCTGGCCTTCCTCCTTCTTTCTAATCAAATTTCTCTTTCTAGTTTGGTTTGAACACTATATTGGTTTTTTGTTTTCTGTGTTGCAAAACAAATTTAGCAGTTTAAAATTACATACATTTATTGTGCCATAGTTTCTGTGGATCATAGTCTAGGCAGAGCCTAAGCGGGTCCTCTGTGCAGGGTCTCACAAGCTACACTCAATATGTTGTCTGGGCTGTGTCCTTTCTGGAGCTTAGGGTGCTCTTCCAAGCTTACTGGTTGTTGGCAGAATTTGGTTCCTTGCAGTTGTAGCACCAAGGTCCCTGTTTTCTTGCTGGCTGTCAGCTGGGGGCCAATCCAAGCATCTAGAGGTCTCTTGCAGTTTCTTACCATGTGGCTTTCTCACAATGTGGCAACTGGATTCTTCAAGGCCAGCAGGAGGGCCCAGTCCCTCTTCCAAGACTTGAGCTGATTAAGTCTGGCCCACCCAAGATAATCTCCTTTTTGATTAACTCAAACTCGACTGATTTGGGACCTTAATTACATCTGCAAAAGCCCTTCATCTTTGCCATATAATGTAACCTAATCACAGAAGTGACATCCCTTCTTATTCACGTCCCACCCCTGCTCAAGGATTGTTCAGGGTGTGTACACCAGGGAGTGGCAATCTTGGGGGCCATCTTAGAATTCACCCCACATTTGTGTTGAGCTGGTCCCAGGGAAGTTGGAATCTGGCCAATAAATGAAGCACTTTTCCTATATTTCTTGATAACTTTGCTAGTCTTTTTTCACTTCTTTGAGCTCATCTTCCTCTAAGACCTTGATGCGAGATAATGTGCTAAGTCCAGTGCGCGTGGATGAGTGATCACAAAGGGCAGATGACCTCAAAGACCGTGATTATGGTAATGGCTCCTCTACTTGACTTTCTATATTTTTTATTATTTGGCACTTAAATATAATATGTTTTGGTTCACTGTTTTCTTCCCCCAAACTTCTACTTCTCTCTTGAGTAATGAAATATGTTTTTAATTTCTGAGTTTATTCAGCTTTCATGCTTATATGTTTAAAGTTTTCATGAAAATAAAATTTCTTTTTATATGTATGAGCTCACATTTGGCCCTGTATAGAACCTTTTGATTGGTCTTTCTTTTGATTTGGTCTTTCTTGTTGAGAGGTCTTCTTATATTACGTGCTGGTGTCTAGACATTAGCCCATGACTCTTGAGAAGGACAGTAGGTATCTGTGGTACTGTTTCAAATCTCTGAGTCTAGGCTCAGGGTTCATTCATATGGTCACAAATACAGAGGAGCTGGTAACTCCTAAACTCTCTGTTCCTGGTCACATCTGTTTAGTCTCTCCTTGAGGACAGGTTACAGAAGGAAAAGACCGAATGTAGATTTTGTAGCATGACAATTCACTGTGAGTGTGGTCTCACCTTCAGGGTATCTGAAACTCAGCCAGGAGCCACACACATTCATTGGCACTGAAGCAGGGTACCTCCTGAGACTCCTCTCCCCAGCCATGGTGCCTGCTGCCCTAGGACTGCTGATGCTGGTGGCAGTGCCTGAATTTTTAATTGGCCTGGTTGGAAATGGAGTCCTTGTGGTCTGGAGTTTTAGAGAATGGGTCAGAAAATTCAAGGGGTCCTTATACAACCTCATTGTCCTGGGCCTGGCTGTCTGCTGATTTCTCCTGCGTTGGTTGATTATAGTGGATTTAAGCCTGTTTCTGCTTTTCCAGAACAGCCATTGGCTTTGCTATCTCTGGGTCCTGGTAAGCCAGGCCAGCCTGTGGTTGCCACTTTACTCGGTGTCTTCTACTGCAAGAAAATCACGACCTTCGACCTTGTCTACTTGTGGCTGAAGCAGAGGGCCTATTGCCTGAGTCTCTGGGGTACCTCATGATCAGTTTGTTACTTGTAGCCCACATTGGCTTAAAGCCCTGCAATCCTTCCCGAGGAAACAGCAGCATTCTATATCCCTTTTCAAACTGGCACTCTCTGTATATATTACGTCTCAGTGCAGGAAGTAGGGTGCCTTTCACGGTGTTTCTTGTTTCCTCTGGGATGCTCATTGTCTCTTTGTATAGACACCACAGGAAGATGAAGGTCCATACAGCTGGTAGGAGGGATGCTCGGGTCAAGGCTCACATCAGTGTCCTTCAGTCCTTGGGCTTCTTCCTTGTATTTTACATGGTTTACGTCCTGGCTAGCCCCTTCTTCATCACCTCCAGGTATTCTCCTGCTAATCTCACCACTGTCTTCATCTCTGAGACACTCATGGCTGCCTATCCTTCTCTTCATTCTGTCATATTGATCATGAGGAATCCCAGTGTGCAGCAGATTTGTCAGAGAATCTTGTAGAAGACAGTGTGCGCTTGGAGATCCTGGGGCCTGTGATCTGGGGAGAAAGGAGTGGTCAGGATACTTTTTTGAGACACTCTTTTGATAGCTCTCTACAAGGGAGTTGACTTTCACATCTTTTAAAATTTTCCTTCTTTGACACCAAATCAATAAGTAGGCAACAGGAAATAGAATAAAAACCAATACTATTTCTCTTTTGGCAATGCAAATTATGTTGTTTTAATGTATTATAGAAGTCAAGGCTGGAGCTTTATGTTTGGTAAAAGAGGTGTTATATTGTTTATATATAGCAAATAATTCATTTCTTTTTAAATTACACATGTATAAGTTGTGTTTTTCCTGTTATAGGAAACAGAGATTAGGAACAATTACTGTAGTGATCATTAATTTCTATGAAATTTCACCTATCCATTAATCAAGCTTTTAAAAAAAGGAAGTATAAAATAATTTCCTCATTTCTCTACTGTTGTAGGTTTATTTATCTAACTGGAAAACAAAGCAAAACATATTTATGTTTCTGGAAGTTTCTTTGAGCCCTAGAATTACCTTTTAGGATAAAAGTCAGTTGGCTGCTATGATCTGTATTAAGCTCCAAAGCCCAAGACCTGGAGTGGGGCAAGATGGGAGTGAGGGGCACTTGCTTCTGCTCTCAAAAAGAACACTGCTCCCCAAAGAGGTCAAGCCTTATTCACTTTGGTCAGTTAGCTGTCCTGACTCTCCACTCTGGCTTCTCCACAGCCTGAAGTCAGAGTTTTAGCCAAGTCTTTGAGTTGGAGGGCGACCATCTAGAATGTCCAATCCATGGCAGCAGGAAGTTTGTCTGCTTTTGTTTTCTCCTAGGTTCCTGGTGCCTAGAACACTACTTAGCCCATAATAAACACTTAATGAATGTTTTCCAAAGTGGAATGCTCAAGTTTATGAGTATTTTTAAACAGATGAAATAAGCAACTAATCTTTCAAGTTTGGTATTGGTGGGATGCCTGGGAGTCAAGATCCAAACTCACGACAGACTGAAGTTTCTGTGACTTGCTTTTCTTAGGGACAAAACACCTGCATTCTCCCAGTCGCCTTTTGGGATTAGATTTCCTTCCTTTTCTGTAACATGATTTAGCTCATGATGGTTGTGAGGCTGCTTTGTGTTTTCTCCAAGAAAACAAATTTAGAGGCAAATCTGTGGTCTAGAATTGATTCCTATGTAATTAAATCTTTTATAATTTGCATTCTCAGAGCTGCAGCTGGATCCATGTGCACGTGGGTTTGTGCGTGTAGATATTACTAGCCTTCCTTTCTATTGTGTGGTATGATTTGTGATGATACAGCCTAGAGGAGGACTGAAAAAGATTCAAACAGTACAGAAAGGTAAAAAACAAATAGCAACATTTTCCCATTTCACTCCCCATTATTAGCTCCACTGCACAGATATAGTTGTATTTTACCATTTGTCTTAGTTCTTCTAGTGATTATTTTCACAAGTCTAAATAATAAGATTTTGCCTCTCTTTCTTGGTTCATCAACTTTGAACTGTAACTTTTGAATCCCGTTAATCAAAGTTTGGGGATTATCTCACTTAACCCCAAATCCATTTCCCTCTCCTAAATTTGATTCATTTTATTTATTTGTCATTCTTCTAGTCATTAATTTTATAACTTTAAGTAATACGTTTTTAACTTTACTTTTTTGAAGCATAACTTATGACACTATATACAGAATCTGAATTGTGTAGAAGGAAGAAATTAATGCTTCAACTCTCCTGTACTTTTCCCATATCTGAACTCATATGTCCAACTTCATATGACCTAAGTAGAAAATAAATTTATTGGAAGGAAATTGGCTATCTCATAGAATCAATGGGAAGGGTGGAGAGTCAGTATCAGAATGGGACCCAAGAGGGTTTATACAACTGAGAACACAACCAAGTCACTCTACAGGAACTGGTGCTGGCACCACCACTCACATTTCAACTGTCAGCATTGTGTCTTTGACATTGTCACTGCCTCTGTGAATGTGTCCCTTTGAATCGTAGCTCCGATGTCCAAAATCCTAGCTAAGAGCCTCTGATTAGCTGATTGTAGGTCACACACCTGCCCAGCTGACTGGTCCTGGGGCAAGGAAAAGTCTGATTCCCCTTTGGCTTCTGAAATATGTATTTTTAAATTAGATGAAATAAAGTACTCAGCAATTAGATTAAGCATCAGACTCGATGCAGCTGATGGTGAATTAATGAACTGGAAGGTCACCTCAAAGAACTCTCTCAGAAGGTATCAGGAAGCAATAAAAAGATGAAACTGTAAAAAAAAGAAAAGCTATAGGGCACATAGAAATAACAGGGTAATTATCTATGTAACTGGAGTCCCAGAAGGAGATGGAAAAAATGAACAGAAGGAATGAAATATTTGAAGAATTAATGACTTAAAAAAAACCTAGATTGAAAGGCTTGAGGGGTACCAAACAAGACAATAAGGTGGAAGAGAAACCTTCAGCACATTATAAAAAAAATTAAGAATATCAAAGACAAAAAGAAAGTTTATAAAACTTTAAGAAAGAGCAGATCAAGATTCAAAGAGACATTTCTCAGCAGAATGTAGAACAACATTTTGCTTTACATTTTATTCTAGTAACTATTTTATTCTTATTTTCAAATAACACCAAGAAGAAAGTTTAGAAATATTTTTCTGGCTAGCAACATATTTCATATTGATTATATACAGGGAATTAATTGTAAAAATGTCACTGAGGCCTTAGTGGATTGATGATCATGAGGTTACTGAGCAATTCTGAAATGTTTTAACAAAGAAAATCTTGAAAGTCTAAAGGATTTTGAAAGAAAATGATATCATATTCACAACTGGGTTAAAGGAGTCAATGTTGCATATAATTGGAGATGATTCTAGGTGGGAAAAAGTATCTAGCACAAATAGTTGCCAGTGCTACAAATTTGATAGAATGAAGTAAAGGAAATGGGAGAAACAGACAAAAAAAATAAGCATATAGATTGAAGACAAAAGAAACTATCAGGGAAAACTTACTCTCAATTAAAGAGAAAGCCTTGGCAATAATATGAGCATTTTAAGAAAAAAGGTGAAAACTTTGCCAAAGTGCTTTCCTTTAGTGGGAGATAGTGGAGTGGCTTCAAGAACCTCTGTAGTCTACACAATGTTGAGTTACTGGCTAAATTATGAGTGAAGATTAAGTAGCTGTGAAAACATTCCTCCTGTATTATAAAAAACTGTATTTCAGATTAGGCTATACTTGGTTCAAATTTTTAACTGTAATCAAACTGATCTCTAGAAATTAATGCCCTCAAAGATTTGTACTTTGAAAGAAGAACAAGCCCCACTTTAAAAGCTGTGAACAATTGACTGATGCTGAGCACAAAGGCTAGCAGACATATACCTTTCTAGCATTTTTATTAGGGTTGTTTTTATTTCAGTTAGTGCTCTGGTTACCAAGTTGCATATGTTTTCAATAGTCTTCTTCATCATTATTTTCCTCATAAGCTCTTTTATTTTTTGTACATGATTTTGCAGAGTTTGAAGTTTTACAAGAATGCATATATCACTTTATAGCAGGAAGGATTATTTGTCATAGGTTTGTCATGAGGATTAAATGAATTAATATATGCAAAGTGTTTAGAAGAGTGCCGGGTGCATAGTAATAGCTATAAATATTTACCTTTAATATTGTTATCATACTATTATTTGGGAACAATAACTTTAAATATTTGCACTGGCGAGAAATAATTAAAGATATATAGAAAATAGAATAGAAATGCTGGATGAATATGCTTTGGCTTCCCAACTATCTGGGTGCTTCACCATCCCTTGCTAGTTCCTTTAGCCCTGCCCACACCTTTATAATCATTTATTAAATTCTCTTCAATTATTTCTTTGAGTGTACTGTTTCTTCTGACTTACATATATTAAAAACTCAAAAGTTTGTTCTTTGAAAAGACTTACAAAGTAGAAAATCCACTGGTAAAGTAGGTTAATAAAAGAGAAAAGCTGATGACATGATCTTGTATATAGAAAATCCTGAGGAATCCACAATAAAACTATTAGAAGTAATAAACAACTTCAGCAAGGTTACAGGATACAAGATCAATATGCAAAAATCAATTGTATATCTGTACACTAGCAATGAACATTTCAAAAATGAAATTTAGCAAACACTTCCATTTACATTACCATTAGAAGGAATAAAACACTTAGGAATAAATTTGACAGAAGTACAAGGCTTATACACTGAAAACCCATAAAACATTGCTAAAAGTAATTAAAGAAGACCTAAATAAATGGAAAGACATCCCATGTTCATGGATTGGAATACTTAATATTTTTAAGATATCAATACTCCCCAAATTAATTTCAGATCAACACAAGCCCTGTCTGAATCCTAGGTGGCTTTTTTTTCTTTGCAGAAATTGACAAGTTGGTCCTAAAATTCCTGTGGTATTGTGTAAGACTCATAATAACCAAAACAATTTTGAAAAAGTTGTTTCAAATGGGAGAAATGGAAACAGAGAGAAATAGACAACAAAATTAAGCATATAGATTGAAGACAAAAGAAACTATCACGGACAACTTACTCTCAATTAAAGAGAAAGCCTTAGCAATATATGAGCATTTTAAAACCTACTACAGAGCTATAATAATCAGGACAGTGTGGTACTGACATAAGGATAGACATATGAATGAGTGGAATAGAATTGAGAGTCCAGATAAACTATCCCATTTATGGTTAAATGATTTTAGTCAATGATGCCAAAACAATGCAATGGTAAAGAAGTCTTTTCAACAGATGGTGCTGGGACAACTGGATGTCCACATGCAAAAGAATGAATTTGGATCCTTACCTCATACCATATACATAAATTGGCTAAAAATATATCATAGACTTTAGTGTAATACTTACAACCATACAAGTCTTAGAAAAAAACTTATAGGAATAAATCTTGGTAACTTTAGGTTAGGCAAAGATTTCTTAGATGCGACACCAAAAGTACAAACAGCAACAATAAAATAGATAAACTGGACTTA